TTAGATAGAGGCATTGTGGTGCTTTAATTGTATTTTAAAAGTCTGATTTGACTGATGTACTCTTTAAAGTAGAATCTGGAGATATACAAATATCAATATTTATTGTCTTAGCAGTACATATAAAAATTAAGCAGGGCCATAAATACCTATGAGTAGTCTCACTGCTAATTAGTCACACTGTAGATAAACAATGTTCCCATCATCATTTTAAACTTCTTCTTCTTTTTTTTTAAAATATATTTTATTGATTTTTCACAGAGAGGAAGGGAGAGAGATAGAGAGCTAGAAATGTCGATGAGAGAGAAACATTGACCAGCTGCCTCTTGCACACCCCCTACTAGGGATGTGCCCACAAACCAGGTACATGCCCTTGACCGGAATCGAACCTGGGACCTTTCAGTCCGCAGACCAGCGCTCTACCTCTGAGCCAAACCGGTTTCGGCCATTTTAAACTTCTTGTGTGTAGAATACTGAATTGGAAATAAAACAACTGGAAAATAGTCCCTGTTTTCAAATCAAAAGTTTTTTTTTGTTGTTGTTGTTTTTTTATGGAGGTAGAGATGGAAAACAGATCCATATTGAGAATAATTCAGAACATATACAACCCAAATATAAATAGACTAGAGGTGACGTGTATGGATTTGTGCACCAGATGGGGTCCCTTTGCCTGGACTGTACCCTCTTGCAATCCAGGACCCCTTGGGGGATGCAACAGTGCATGAAGCAGCAGGAGGCCAGAGAGGAGCTGAGCCGTGCTGGGTGCCACCTGGCTCAGCGCTTGGCACTCCTGGGATTCACAGCGTTCCTGGTTCACTCGTCACTCCTTAGCACTCCTTAATGCTGTGCTTGCCAGCCATGAGCCTGGCTTCCGGATGAACATAGCTCCCACTGTGGGAGCGCATTTATCACCAGAAGTCAGCTCCTATTGGTCAGTGCACATCATAGCGACCAGTCATTCTGGTTGTTTGGTTATATATATATATATATATATATATATACAGTTGCTTAGGTATATATATATATATATAGACTAGAGGCCCAGTGCACAAATTTGTGCAACTTGAAAGGAACTGTGAGCCACAAGGCTGTGGTGGGTACAATATGGGTCTTGGTCCATCCTTTGTGATCCCGCCTGGTTCCTCCTGCCAGGGTCCCTGGTCCCCTGTCTGCCAGCAGCCTTGCTTCCACTGCCGTCACTCCCTGAGCTGATGGCACCAGGCCTGCTGCTCACACCTGCTGATGACACAGAGTGAGTGGGGCCAGTGCTGGTAGCAGGTGTGAGCGGGCACACTGGCATCAGCTGCAAGCTCTGGGCAGGACAGTGGCATGTGGAAACAAAGAATTTTCAGTAACCACCAGAGGCTCGCCCTGATGACAGTGACTGGAACTCTGCCTTGGCCTGGTGCCCCCCCCCCCCCCCTCACCTACTCCACCATCCCGCTGTGGCTGATGCCTGCCATGTTTCATGCATGCCCTCTGGTGGTCAGCGCACTTCATAGCGACTGGTTGTTTGGCCGATTTGCATATTAGGGTTTTATATATATACTAGAGGCCTGGTGTATGAAATTTGTGCATGGGGGTGGGGGTGGGAGTGGTTGTCCCTCAGCCCAGCCTGCGCCCTCTCCAATCTGGGACCCCTTGAGGGATGTCCGACTGCCTGTAAACCTCAGGTTGAAAGATTCATTTCACAAATCCAACTCACCTTGTGCACTCTACTGGGGATCAAGCCAGCCATCTGGGCTTGTGCCCAGACTGGGAATAGAACCATGACCTCTTGGTTTATAGGTCAATCCTCAACCACTTAGCCATGCCAGCGGGTTATTGATTACTTATTTTGTGCTAGGCATTAAGTGCTCAGATATATTGCATCATAATCTATACAAGCTTTCACTAAAGTCTTTGGATATTTAATTTCCTAGGGTTTTACCAAGTGTTAGCTAATTTTTAATAATGCTTCTGTAATAATTGTAATATAGAGCAAGAATTCATATCAATATATTAAGATATTTAAATTGCTGGAATATGCTATATAATGTGCACATCCAGCACTGATACTTGGAGTTTCCTAAATGCCTCATTTGCAAAGGTTTCCATTTCATAGCATCATTGAAATTCTCAAACTGGTATGTGAGATTTTGAGGTGAACTAGAGGTCTGGTGCATGAAATTCGTGCAAAGGGATCCGCCCTTGCAGCCCCAGCTTCATCCGGAAGGTCGTTTGGCTGTCCGGTCTAATTACGATATTACCCTTTTATTATTATAGATAGTCTGCTTTGCAACTTTCCCCAGTTTCTACAGCAGTTGTTGAATTTGTAGGTGGTTGTTTCTGTCTTGTATTCAGTCATTTCTATCAATGTTTGCCCTGCTTTGGCTGCAAACATTTTACTTCTTACCTTTCAAGAAGCCATAGACCCTTGGCTTGGCCCAGTTTTCGTAAGAATGAAAAGCAAAACTCACTCAAATTTCACCCACCATCATGGGGGTGTGATGGGTATGAAAGGGAAACCACAATTCTTCCACTGATGGAGTTATATTATTTTATTTCTTCTTTTAGAGTTTTTTTTCCTTTTTTGATTAGAGAGATGCTTAGATGCTTCAAGGTCCCCATTCCATGAGTTGATTTTATTCAAGTGTCGAATTCCAGCTCCTCTCATTACAAGTTCTGTAATAAAATCTTTTAAAAGACATGTTATCTTGCCTAATTCTTAAAGCAAGTGGGTATTTAGGAGTCATGAATGCTCAAGAGCTGTGCGGTATAAAACATCAGCTACTAGACACACATGGCTATTGAGCATGTGAAATGTGGCTAGTTCATATTGAGATGTGTAATAAGTATAAAATACATACTATATTTTGAATATCTAGTTTGAAAAAATATAAAATGCATCATTAATAAATTTTCATATTGATTGCATGTTGAAATGGTAATAGTTTGGCGATATTGGGCTAAATAAAATATATTATAAAAATAAAAGTGTTACCTATTTCATTTTTACCTTTTTTAATGTGGCTATTAGAATATTTAAATTAGGTAAATCACATATCTTTATAGGACAGCACTGCTCTAAAAACCACAAAGCTTTCAATATTGGAAAGAATCTCAGGCTTTTGCTTAGAATTATAAATACCTGAGATATTTCTTTGTTGTGGTTTTGTACAACTGCCAGCTGCCTTGTACAAAATAAATAAAAAGATTGCATGAAGATGCTTATTATAAACCCAGTTTCAAAAACCTTAGGCCTTTGGCAATATTTGTGTTCTTTCATTGGTCCATTAGCTTCACTTTGCCTCAGGTATTGTAACTTCAAACTTGATGTAACATTTTCTATGGATGTGGCTTATAAAGATCAATAAATTAAATGTAGTTTGTAATGCTCCAAAGAATAATGTGTTACTTATAAAATTTTTTTTTTTAATCACAAATCTAGTGCTTTTCTGGTATGTTCAAAGAGAAGGAATCCTAAAGCATTAAGTTAAAAATATTAAAATCTGTGTATTTTAACTTTTAATGGATAAAGTTAATCTACATTGTCATGAAATGCTTGAAGAAACTACTTCGTGGCACAGTATACCCCTCACTTTAGCACTTTATAAATGAACGAGTCTGGATATTTATGAACAAAAAAAGATGGATAGCATGTTCAGTTCTCCCACACCATAAAGAAGATTCTCATTTGCATTTTTATCATCACTCTTTATGACAAATAATGCTGATCTTGCCGATGGTACTTGTGCTATATACACTGGAAATTAAGGTGAGCTTACATGCAGACTATTTTTATTTGTGACCCGATCCTGGGAGTTAAAAGACCAATAAAACATAAGCCATCTCTCTTGCTCTAGTTGAAAGGCAAATGGAGAAATTAACGCAGAGAGGATCAGGATCAGAAACTAGAAAAGAACAGTGCTGTTTCCTCCTGGCTCTGTCCCCTCCTCCCCACACGCTGATTAAGCATCTCCTATGAATCAAATACTGAGACGATGAAAGAAGAAGACAATCATGTTCCACAGAATCCTTTATTCGTTTTGGGAACTGAAATCAGACTGTAGTTTTAAAAATTCTTCCAACTGCACGTAGCTCAGGCAGTTAAATAAGTAATCATGACATTTGATTGTAACAGACCTTCGGACATTTCTCCCTGCACTTTAACATCTACGGTAAAACCGTTATAAGGGATGAACCCCCACTTATGCAGTCACTGCTCTCAGGTCCACATAGTAAATAAGATTAGAAGATTGGCATTTTTTTTTTTTTTTATAATCCACCTCCTCCCCTCTCCACTCCATTTTCCACTTTACTGCAAGAGTGAAACAAAACAAAACAAAACAACAAAAAACTAGTTTTACGGGGTGAACGGGGGCGAAGGATGTAAGAAAGGAAGGGAAGGAAGGAGCAGGGAGGACCATACAGATAAGCGGAAGCAGGGAATCAAATGCAGAGCTGCTGTCCTTTTCCCTTTTGTCAGGAGGTACCCTGCCCGCTGCTCCCAGCTCCCAGCCAAGTAGCTTCTCCTCCCGGCTGCGCCCCCTAGCGGCGGCGCGCGGCGGCGCGCGGCGGGCGCTTATCTCTTTAAGTGACAGCTGTGGCTCGGGTCCCGGTCCCGGCCTGACGTCAGCGCCGCCTCCCCAGCGGGGAGAGGAGTAGTGAGCGCTGCGCTCCGCGCTCCTCGGCACTCGCGGCTCCCTCTGCCAGCCGCCTGGGCGGCGAGTTCTCTCCGCTCCGACCGCTCCGACCCCTCCTCCCGCCCCGCGGGGAGGCGAGCGGCCGCGCCGGAGCCTCTTGCAAGCAAGTCCCTCGCACACTTCCCCGCCGGCGCCCCAACGGAGCGGCCGCTGCTCCCCGCGCCTCCACCGCCGCCGCCGCCGCCGTGCCCGCGGAGCTCCTCTCCTGCGCTGCGCTCCCCCGATGGAGCCTGAGCGCCGCGACCGCTGCCCCGAGCCCTGAACCGGGCCGCCCCGGCCGGAGGAGGAACGTGCGGTCCGGCTCGAAGGCACACCCAGCGCGCGCGCCAAGGCCGGGGGACCCCCTCCCCACTCCCCGGGGGCGCAGGGCACACGGTTCGGAAGATCGAGAAAGTGCAGCTGTCCCCGGTCCCCTCGGTCGGACGCGGGGCCCCTGGACCATGGCTCTGAAGGACACGGGCAGCGCGGGCAGCACCATCCTGCCCATCAGCGAGATGGTCTCCGCGTCCGCGCCGCCCGGGGCGGCATCGGCGGCGGCGGCGGCGGCGGCCCCGGGGTCCTGCGCGCCCGCGCCCTCGCCCTTCCCCGAGGTGGTGGAGCTGAACGTGGGCGGCCAGGTGTACGTGACCAAGCACTCGACGCTGCTCAGCGTCCCGGACAGCACGCTGGCCGCGATGTTCTCGCCCTCCGGCCCCCGGGGCGGCGGCGGCGGCGGCGCGCGGCGGCGGGGCGAGCTGCCCAGGGACAGCCGGGCGCGCTTCTTCATCGACCGCGACGGCTTCCTGTTCAGGTACGTGCTGGACTACCTGCGGGACCGGCGGCTGGCGCTGCCCGAGCACTTCCCCGAGAAGGAGCGCCTCCTGCGCGAGGCCGAGTACTTCCAGCTCGCCGACCTGGTGCAGCTGCTGGCGCCCAAGGTCGCCAAGCAGAACTCGCTCAACGACGAGGGCTGCCAGAGCGACCTGGAGGACACGCTGTCGCAGGGCAGCAGCGACGCGCTCCTGCTGCGGGGGGCGGCGGCGGGCGCGCCCTCGGGGCCCGGGGCGCACGGCGGCGGCGGCGGCGGCATTGGCCTTGGCCTTGGCGGCGGCGGCGGCGGGACGGACCGGCGCTCGGGCTTCCTGACGCTCGGCTACCGCGGCTCCTCCACGGCCGTGCGGGATCAGCAGGCGGACGCCCGGTTCCGGCGGGTGGCGCGCATCCTGGTGTGCGGGCGCATCGCGCTGGCCAAGGAGGTCTTCGGGGACACGCTCAACGAGAGTCGGGACCCCGACCGGCCGCCCGACAAGTACACGTCCCGCTTCTACCTCAAGTTCACGCACCTGGAGCAGGCGTTCGACCGGCTGTCCGAGGCCGGCTTCCACATGGTGGCGTGCAACTCCTCCGGCGCCGCCGCCTTCGTGCACCAGTACCGCGACGACAAGGTCTGGAGCAGCTACACCGAGTACATCTTCTTCCGTGAGTCCGCCGCGGGGTCCGCGTGTCCTGTCTCCCCGCTCCCCCCCCCCCCAAACAAACAAACAAACAAGCAAACAAACAGCAGCAACAACTAAAGAAACACACGGGGCGTCTCAGAGGGAGCTGGTTAATTCATGAGCGCGAGGGGGGCCCTCCCTGCGCGCCCCCGCCTCTGGCTGAGCGCTTTCTCCCTCCGCGATACGCGATCCCCACTTCGTCCCAGAGGAGCACCTAGAGTTCCTACGCAGCCCTCCGTCTTAACTTTATTGATTTTTGTCCCTCTCCTCCACCCCGCACCCCGCAGCCCTGGGCCCCCTTCTCCTGCGGAGGGCGCGGAGGGGGCCTGGGAAACCTGGCTGGGCACAGTGGTTCTCCTTTTTCCTTCTGCGTCTGAGGGGCTCCTGGGGATCAGTGTGTGGGCGCCTGTGCTTCCTCTCCGGAGGGCAGGGTAGCACTGAGGCGCCGCGGAGCATCCCCGGGAGGGGAGTACCTCCTGTTGGTGCTGGTCTAGGCGCACGAGCATCCAGGGAGGTGTCAGGAGGCAACCTGGGAAGTGGTGACTGTGCCCCAGAGCCCCTCAGAGGGCGGGCGAGTGTGCGACTGGTGGGAAAGAGGTCTCCATCGACCCGGAGAAAACTCAGGTTTTTTCCCAGCGCCACTTGTCAGCTGTAATTGCTGGGTGTTTGGACAGAGGAAAGCGGGAGGTGGAGGGAACCAAAGGGTGTGCATGTCTGAGCGCTGTTGTCAGGGTTGGAGAGTGCGTGTGCACGTGTGTGTGTGTGTGTGTGTGTGTGTGTGTGTGTGTGAGAGAGAGAGAGAGAGAGAGAGAGAGAGAGAGAGAGAGAGAGAGAGAGAGAGAGAGAGAGATTTCCTTCTGGGCATCTCAAAGGCAAAGGGGGTGGGGAGTTTGAGTCCACTTCCCCAGGGGGAGTAAATCCTGGGATATTGTGAAAGGAGGGAATGAGGGAGAGGATTTGGAAAGCATTTGGCTTGATGCTTCGTGCAGCGCCCCTTCAGGAGGGGGCCCTGTGGATCAAGTTCAAGAACTCCACCCACTATCACTGGGCCTTGGGGGATGGGGAGGCGGGGCGGCTCAATTCCCAGCGATATTTAGACAGCGAGGAGGGCCACCGCTAGAGAGCTAGCAGTTTGGGGACGTGAAAAGCCAGCTGGGATGGCAGCAGGGACATCATTTGGCAAACGTGTTTCTTTGTGGAGACACAAGAAACTTTGGAATGTGCCTATACTCTTAGGGAGAGCACCATTGGCCCTCTATGATAGAAACAAACCGGTTTTAATTGTTTTTATTTACTTTGGTAATTTACTCGCTCTTTGGGGATTTTTCTGCACTTTATTTTGACTGGAGAAAGGGGAAGCCTGCTTGCACAGGAACAAGCTTGATTGGAAGGTGCTCATTGGATATTCTAGTAACCTTTGAGGTAGTGTGATAAAACACAGCAGGCTGTCTTAGAGTTAGATTGTCTTTTTAAACAGGGTGGATTTTCCAAGAAAACAAAGCATTTCGACAGAGAAGCAAAGAAAGTGTCACCGAAGCGGTGGATAAAAATCTGTCTTAATTATATCAAAGTGCTATTACAAGTTGCACAGTAAAAAGAGAAAAGCCACCCAAAGGAAGGTCATTTTTTTTAATTGAAAATAATATCTTTTCACTATTTATTAAGTAATTAAACTGTTTAGCAGTATTCTTTACATCTTATCCCTTATTAACATTTGAAATTTTAAACATTTATCATTTCAACTGATATATTTTCAAGCATAACAGAAGATGAGATGGAATGAACTTTTGACTCTTGTGGTTAGTGATTTTTGTTAGAGCAGACATAAGAATATGTTCTGCAGTTATGTTTCTTGCATTTGGGAATCTTTTTTAGATTTAACTAATAAGTTACTTTGAAAGAGGTATTTGGAATTCAGAACATTTCACTCCAGGAGCTAGAAGAATTGTTAACAAAATAAATAGTCATATTATGAATAACCTTTTGCAGAGTATTCACATAACTAATGAGCTTTGAGATTCATTCATAGAAATCCCAGAAATCTAAGGAAGCAACCTAAAGCTTTCCTCATTAATTACCCCATGGGGGAAAATTTCAGATTAATTATTGCTCTTTTGAAGTGTTATTCCAGTCATTGGCCAGCCTAATTTAGTTGTCATTTTAAATTTATTATGTAAAGTTGATATTGAATACTATTATACATACACTTATTTTATGTTTTATATAGCTTGCAGCATATTTTCACAAGTTATTTTGGATGGGATTCCTTTTAAAATTGGAAATGAAAATACAATGTAAAATCTTTGTATTTCCATCTTATTCAGTTTAGGTGATGGTGCAAGTTTATAATTACCTTGTTTAACAGTCTTTACTTAAAATGAATATTAGTGTTACTCATTAAAAACAAAATTATTGGATGAAATTGTTTGTCTACTATATTTCAAATGCAGAAGAGGACTTTACCTTTTATTTTTCCTTTTGACGCAGTACTTTCAACAAATATTTGTTTAGTGTGTAACATGCAGCAGTCATGTTAATACATTTTTAAATTCAGGCTGCACATGAACTAGTTTGAAGCTTTGCTAAAACTATAGAATTGTAGTTTATACATTCGAATGCCAATTTTTGCTCCTGTATAAATAGAAAGAGAGAGGCCGAAACCGGTTTGGCTCAATGGATAAAGCATCTTTTATACATTATTAATTTACATACATATGTCTGTCATTAAGAACTTTCTTTTTAAGATCCTTTCCTTTTTATGTGCCCTTCTAAATGATTGATTACTGACATGTACTTCCTGGTGTGTACTTTTCCTAACTAATCTCTACCCCCACTGATGATCCACATTTACAATAGATTTCTTCCACTTGTCATGGCCAAGCCTACTGTGGACCTGTGTGAGCACTTTTTTTAAATATACATCTAGGAGGGGAATTAGTGGGCCATTGGGGATGCACTTGGTTAAGGACTGTCAGATTGCTCTCCAAATGAGTATACACCAGTCTTCACTTCTAAGAATAGCGCATGAGAATGTCATTATCTCCACTTCCCTGCCAACTTGTCAAAATTCAGTTTTCTAATTGTTGCAAAAAATAGAAGAAAAGTGATAGTTCATTATTGTTTTCAATTTCATCTCTCTAATTACCAATGATGGAAAGGTAATTTTTAGCTCACCCGTCTCTGTAGATTAGAAAGATTTTGAGTAAGCAGGTCAAGAGGATCTTCTATAGTGTAATCTTATTTTCCTATTCAAACTTCAACGGCAGCAACAGCATCACAAACACATGCGCCTGCATAAAACGATAAAACTACGCTTCATGCAAATGAATGTTTATTATCCTTCTTCTCAAAGGGGACACCCCAGTCTCATAAGCCCTGCCTCCATCTGTGGGTGATCTACATACGGTATTATGTATGAGGTATGAAGGTGATTCCTTGTAGAATGGTCTCTTATGAATTAATATTTTCATATATGTCACTTGCCCTCAATGCAGTCAATAAACAAATATGACAGGAGCAGGATCAGTGAAAGTATGTGGTCCAAGAAGGGGAGAATGGAACCCATACAGCATCACAGGTCTTGCAGCAAATTCTGCCATGCAGGCCTGTCGGAGACTCCCTTTCCTGCCAAGAGAATAAGTGCCCTCCTGGCAGCACCTGGTTTTGCTGTGGAGCACAACTCCCTTGCCTGTTGTCCTCCAGGGTCCTTTCCTTTGCCTTCTGGGAGATTCTTACCTGTCAACTGCCTTCCCTGACCATGCCTGAGGCAGGCATTGGGGCGGGACATCCTCTTCCACAGCTCACTTCCTGCCAGTGCAGGCTCAGTGCCTGCAGGTGGCTTGAAGGATTAAATAGCTTATGCTACTGATGGCCAGTTTTGCAGTTTCTGGCAAAATTGTAGTGGACTTTTGGTCAGTTTCATTAGTGAATTAAGAGCAAAAATATCTCCTCCTAATGTAATTTTTAGACCTGAAAGCTATTTTGTGGCCTCTCTGAGTCACTCATTTCCCCTCTGAAATGAAAGGTTTAGGAGTGTGGTGCCAGCTTTGTCAGCGGGGCAGTCTGCTGTGTGAAAGTTGTACCTCCTGCTAAGGCTGCACTTTTGTGGTTATATTTAGTTACTGCTGTTTTTTTGTTTTGTTTTGTTTTTTGTTTTTAACTTAAATTTTTATATTGTGAACATTTTAAACATCATGGGAAAAAAACCAAAACAATTTTCCAAAAAAACCTCCCATATATTCATCTCCTAGATTCAACAGTAATAAAAATATAAATGTATCTCTGATGTTATTTATTTATTTATTTTGCTAAAGCATTTTAAAGCAACTCCAAAATATTATGTTGTTTCAAATCTACGTACCTTGATATAAACAAGGAATGGGCATTATTTATTTCAACACTATTCCATTATCAACTTTAACGTGATGCATAATGATTTTAGCAATATCTGATATATAATCCATAACCATATTTCTTAGATTGCCTCGAAAGTATTTTTTAATAGATGTTTCTTTTTTTAAAGTTGGGATTGTACATTTTATTTTTATGTGCCTGTATCTTAATTAACATAGGATAGCTCCTCCTCACCCTTTTCCTCTATTCATCTCTCTATCTATGTCTATCTCTATCTCTATCTCTATTTCTATCTCTATCTCTATCTCTATCTCTATCTCTATCTCTCTGTGTCTCTGTCTCTGTCGCTGCCTCTCTCTGTCTCTTCACATGTAAGACCATCATTTTGTTTCTAGAAACAGGGTCTGTTGACATGATTAAAGCCCCAAATGTTCTGTAAGGTCTGATTTCTCTGTCCCTATATTATCTGTAAGTGAATATTAAATTGAGCATTTTTATCTCAGCTTCTTTTACTTTTCTGGGGGGCAAGGTGATTCATGGTGATTTTGTGTGCTCCATTAATATTTCAACCCATTGATCATTCCACAAGTATGTGAATGGTGTCAATCTGACTCCCACCAAAACATTTATCTAGTAGTTTTACCATTGATGACTGTTATCTGATGCAAATATTACATTAGGGACTGCACAATTATAACTTTTCTGATTTTGTCATTTCTTCTACATTTGGTAGGTGGAGTCTTATAATGAACTTTTCTCAAAAACTGCTAAAATATAGTTCATAGAGGAAAGGCAGGGAAAATGCATAATTCTTATTTCTTGTCTTTTTTCATAGTAAGGAATTGGTTCTCTAATAACTTCCAGTGATATTCAGTGAATTGTAGCTGTTGCTGTGGTATTTTGGCGCCTTATTCCCACTTTCCTGTTGTGGTAGTTTCTCTCTCTCTCTCTCTCTCTCTCTCTCTCTCTCTCTCTCTCTCTCTCTCTCTCTCTCTCTCTCTCTCTCTCTCTCTCTCTCTCTCTCTCTCTCTCTCTCTCTCTCTCTCTCCTGTGTAGTTGTGAAATCATGGATATTTTAAATATTTGAGCATTTCAGTCAATGGAATTTTGGATGCTGGAGCAGTTCCGCTTTGACCAGAGAGAAACTCGCTGCTGTGTCGACACAGCCCATTGAGTCCTTGGAACATTAATACTTGCTATTATGTAGCCACAACCTTTAACCACTTGGCTTGGTGGCATAGAAACAGCTCCTAAACGTCCAAATTACAGGACTCTCCTTCACCTTCTCTCATGGGCTTCCGGCGGAGGGATTAAAGAGCACCTCCTCGGCAAGGCCTGTGTCTTCTGCCTCTCTTGGTGGGCTTGCTCAGTGGGTCTTTCCCCCTGATGAGACTTTGCTGAAAGAGGCAGGAGCCAACACCACACGCTAACATTCTAAAGTTCCCTGGCGTTTTATTTCATGCTATAGCTATAGTTGGCATGTGATCCAATGGTCACCGTCACGTGATAGTTGTTGCTAGTTTCCCCATCTGTAGCATTGTTATCCTGTGGCCAACCACCTGACTGCCTCCCTGCTGCATTAAACCCCCAGCATCCTTCAGGCTTTGTTATTGCAAAAGGGGCCATCGCTCCTACTCCAAGTTATATGTCTTAGCCTGCATTAAAACCAAATGCACTCTAGTTAGTTTAAGTTGAAGGGATTTATTAAGGATATGCATATCTTATAGAATCAAAGGGAAGATTAAAGAAAAAGGCTCTAGACTGAGCTTATAAGACTTCACTGGAGAACTGCCACGGAGTAGCTACTGCCTTTGTCACCGTCAACTAACTGAGAATAAAGAAATCTTCCAATATGCTGGCACAACCACACAGGCCACATCTCCCCAACACCATGATACCCAGTGCCCAGCCTCCTCTGAATGAATGATGTCTGTGGTGGAACATGGATCACACTCAGGAGTCCATCTCAATGGAATTAGGAAATTATTTTCAGCTATTTAGTCTCTTCATGCCCAATCACTGTAGCCTGTACACTCTGTATCTCATTAGCATTTGAGAAGAACATCTGAAAGACAATACTTTTTTTATTAAAATACATGCAAATATTTTAATATTCACACACACCCCATTTTTGCAAAGACATCATTGCACAACTCCCTTTATGGGCACTTCTTTATATACTAATCTATAATAATAGAAGGGCAGTATGTTAATTAGACCAGACGTCCTTCAGAGCATCCTTCTGGATGAAGCCAGGGCTGGAGGGAAGCTGGTGCCAGCTGCTGGGAGAAGGAAGGCCTACTCTTGCATGAATTTTGTGCATCAGATCTCTAGTGTATGCATAATAGAAATGAGACTAGTAATTCTAATCTCATCATTTCAGTGCAAGTTATCACTGAGGAAAAAGTACAGAAAGTAGGATCACAGCCTGGAAGTAAAAAAAAAAAAAAAAAAATACCTGAAGAATAGTATTTATATTGAGGAAGAATGTCATTCTAAAAGTTAGAGTCTAGGATAAATGAATGTATTCTACATTGTTAGACTATAGCTGTAGTAATGCTATAGAGTATATGGATTCTTGGAGAAAACTAGAGGATTTTGGTAAACCATTTGCTTCTGTGGAGTACTTTGAGACTATTTCCCATCTCTCACTTGAAGAATGATCAGAGCATAAACGAGATGATACTTGCCAGGTGTTTTTAGCACTTCCGTTGAATCGTGTGGTGTAAATTAAACTAGTGGTGACAACACATAGATTGTGTGGGGGTAGGATCTGAGGAAGAAACTGGTTAAGGAACTGTCTCATTTTCTTGTAAGAGGTAAGATACAAGCTGAGGTGAATAGCTTTTGCCTGGCAGTTAAACGTGAATTTACTTTTGTAAAGGGTGAGATGTAGAGCAGATGTTGGAAAATCACAGGCAACACTAATAATGCCTGTAGTCCCACAGGAACTCAGGAATGGCAGCAATTACCAGTGACTTTAACTTCCCAGAGAAATTCACTGTAAAACCTGATGCAGGTGTTTTGGCCAGGCAAGTTATAGGGATAATTTCATAACAGCTCTTGCTCTCCCCTTCCTGTGTCTGATACCCAGTTTACCATTCCTTGATGGAAGTCGTGAAGGATGGTACGTGCTAGCTAGTTTTTATCTTATTTTATTTTATTTTATTTATTTATTTAAATATATTTTATTGATTTTTTACAGAGAGGAAGGGAGAGAGATAGAGAGCTAGAAACATTGATGAGAGAGAAACATCAACCAGCTGCCTCTTGCACACCCCCTACTGGGGATGTGCCCGCAACCAATGTACATGCCCTTGATCAGAATCGAACCTGGGACCTTTCAGTCTGCAGACCAATGCTCTATCACTGAGCCAAACCGGTTTTGGTATAGTTTTTAAAATTTGAAACTCATTTATCTTCAGTTAGAGAGGGTGATGTTTTAAAATTGTATTTACTCCCCATGTCTTTCTCAATGAAGCCTCACACTGTGTCTGGCTCCACATTGTCACTTGGCAAAGTTTACTGATTTAATTAGGGAAGCTGTATGATGGATGAGTAGAGACATATGACTGGGCTTAAGGAGGAGGAGTCCGGAGTAAAACAGAGCTACCTTCATATCATATTTGTTTATATTTGTCTGGCTATGGGTAAGTTGTTTAGCGTCTGCAAACCTTGGCTTCCTCCTTTGTAAACTTACTGGAATAATAGTACATATTTCAGAAGGTGCTCTGAGGATTAAATCATTGGATGCATATGAAATAGTTGGCCCAGCCACTTATTCAAAGTTCAGGTTTTCTAAAGGTAACTATTACCTATTCATAAAGAACAATGCCAATACAGAGGAGGTGGTTGGCCACAGGATAACAATAGTTCATGCCTGCACTAAATGGAGGGCTCAGGGATGGCACTGGGGAAAAGGTGACATTACAAATTATGGCCAGAAAGGTGGGCATCTCAGATCAGTGCTTGGGAGCTTTGCCAGGCACGGCTTTTTTTTTTTTTTTTTTTTTTTTTTTTTTTTTTTTTTAGAGGCTAGTTTGGATTGGCTGGATTCCCAAGACTGTTGGGGGGAAAATCTGGGAATGTAGGCTGAGGAAAGCTGATGCAATACATTTTATATCAGGCGAAGGATTTTGAACCAGAAAGTGACATGATGAAATATGCTTATTCAGGAAGAAAAGATTGCATCAGAGTGACACAGGGAGCTGGGGAAACTGAAGTTACTTGGTCAGTTGGTGATTATTGGAAAGGCTCAGGCCAAAGATGAGCCACTGTGCTCTAGTAGTGATGGAGAGAAAGAGATGGATTCTAGAGCTAAGTAGGTGGTATAATCCATTAAACTCTGGGAGATAGGAGTTAAACTGTCTGGCAGTAATGATTCATCTTTTCCCTTGAACAGAATGATACCTTGGGAGAAAGAAAAGAAGGGAGGTCTAATATCCTTTTCAACTGGCTTTCTAAGTAAGTAGATGAATGCTATTTCTAGTAAGAGGAGGCCCTATCTAATAAAGGCTTTGACCAGATGAACCTGGCTAAAGGATGGCTTACAGTAAATAAGGACAGAATCTATAAGGATTGGCCCTCTGGAGGTTACCATGTAAGTTAGTCATTTCTCTGGGTATATAAAATGTAGAAATTTTATAACTTACATGTTTCTATCTCTGTGAGGAGCCCCATAAAACCTTCCTTGAACTCTTCATCAATCATTCTAGGTCAGAGGAATATTCCATGTGGAAAAGAAGGCACTGGAGAGCCACATGGGATGTCGTAGACCACGATGAATTTCATCGGTGCCTCTCTTCTTTAATTTATTAGTGAATCTTGATACCTCAATCTCTTTTTCATGGGAATATGCTTTGCTGCTCTGATTTTGTGTCTTAGCTCAAACTCTGTGACCTACTGGATGTGAGAGAAGGGGGAAAAGAGATATAGAAGATGACTCCAGAGTTGGTGACGGTCTTATCTGAGATAGGGCATTCTGGAGGGTTGGGCCAGAAGGAGAAGATAATAAGGTCAGTGCTAAAACTGTTCAGTGTGAGGTATCTCTGAAACTTTCAGGTGGGGGATGTCTCAAGCATGGTCCTGGAGACCAAATGAATCATCAGTGAGTTTGGAGAGGTAGAGGGCTGTAGTGAGGCTGCTGAATGAGTAGATAAAGAGCCTGGGAATCATCTTGAGAAAGGTCAACTGGACATTGGAAATATCAGAAGAGAGAGGTGATTGTGAAATTTATGGGAAAATAATTTTTAAGTAGAATTAAGTGAGTTTAAGCAAATCAGTGTAATGCTACAGAGGGTTGATCATAGATTAAGACAGAAAACATCAATTAGTTTGACCAATTAGGAGCTCATTAGTAATTACTGAACTGATCAAATAAAATTATAAATTTATAGTGGTGATAAATTGCGTGGCTGGAATATGGTCTCTGGTATGGATGCAAAAGTTGAGAGAGTAGATAATGGGATTCATCCAAGCTTGTGGATTCTTAGTGTGGCTGCTATGAACAGAGCAAAGCTAGTTAATGGTGCTAATAACAGCAGTTGATGCAGCGAGCTGCTTGTTCCAGGATGGGTAAAGAAATCGATACACCATGCTTGTCTAAAGAATTGTAGTAGTATCACCTGGGATGTTGCTTAAAATTGAATATTTGTTCCCTGCTGAATTACTAGTAGAGTCTCAGGGGATAGTGTTTGCGAATATTATTTTTTAAAGCAGCTTTCCAGATTAATGTTTAAGAACCTATTTAATTATAAACAAGCTAGTTCTGAGAAAAGTTATGGTCTTACTAAAATATTCAGTGAAGAAAAAAACAGAGATCTGTATGCATAGAATGCTATTAATTATATTTAAAAAAATGCAAGTCAATGTTTATATAATAGGCTGGAAGGAAGTGCACTTAGCTATTTGAAGGATTTTAAATGACTTATTTATTTTTTGCAAATCTTTTAATCACAGCTTATGTTCATTTTATAATTAAAAAATAAATTATAGTTATTAAAAGTAAGTAGCTAATAAAGGATATATTTCTATATACTTGATTGTAGCTATGAATATAGAGAGATGTAGGATAGTGCCTTAAAAAGGATGTTTTGATAAGCATAGAAGAAAGAGGATAAAAGGATTTTATACCTGAATTAGGTTTAGAGGAAATGCTATCTGAGAGGAACTTGGAGGAAAAGCAGAGCTTTGTGAAAAATAAATTCCATGCACTTTATAATTTTGTCAGCCTCTAATACCCAAGAGACTACAGATGTTCAAATGAAATTACCGGTCACTTGTGGAGTCAGTGCACTTATGTAGTGAGGCTATCAGTCTGAAAAAAAAAAAAAAAGCAGGAAATCATGAATCCAGCTGTGTTAGGATAATTCCAAAGGCTATTTTAGAGAAATGGCTGAACTCTAGCATAGATTACTAGTCACATGGGAGTATATCTTTCATAAGCTATCCTGATAAATATTGGGTACAGGAAGTCAGAATAGTCTGCAAGACTTAGGCAAAATAATATTTTTTTTTTGCATTAAGTTGTGTTACAGGGCTTGTTATTCACAGCAAATATCAGAGCCAATTATTATAGACTAGACTCTTTAAGGAGGGATATAAAAATCCTATCTAATAAAAGAGTAATATGCAAATTGACCATCACTCCAACACATAAGATGGCTGCCCTCATGTGGTCAAAGATGGCTGTCCCCATGTGTACACAAGATAGCCGCCACAAGATGGGAAGCAGAGGAGGGCAGTTGGGGGCAACCAGTAGGGGAGGGCAGTTATGAATGACTAGGCTGGCAGGGGAGGGCAGTTAGGGGCAATTGGGCTGGCAGGGGAACAGTTAGGCATCAATCAGGCTGGCAGGCAGAAGTGGTTAGGAGCAATCAGACAGCCAGGCAGCCAGTAGTTGGAACCCAGCAGTTATGGATTGTGAGAGGGATGTCCGACTGCCCGTTTAGTCCTGATCCCATCAGGGACACATACATACACACACACACACACACACACACACACACACACACACACACACACCCGTGCATGAATTTCGTGCACCAGGACTCTAATATATATCTCATACTTAACTTCAAGGAGCTTGCAATGTAAGTAGGGAGAGAAAATAAATGAGATCTCTATTCTGAAGTTGATAGCAAATATTAAAGACTTGGAAGCAAAGGAAAACAGAAAACGAGTAGATTATAGCAAGAAAAAGCCTTTGGGAGGTGATTACTAGGCATGAGAGGGCCTTAGCTTAAACTGATGATAATGAGAATGGAAAAACAGGAGATGGGCCCTAACTAGTTGATAGAGCATCAGCCCACAGACTGAAGAGTCCCAGGTTTGATTCTGTTCAAGGGCATGTACTTCAGTTACAGGCTCCATTCCTGGCCCTGGCTGGGGTGCTTGTGGGAGGCAACCAATCAGTGTCTCTCTCTCACATCAATGTTTCTTTCTCTGTCACTCCCCTTCCCCTCCACTCTCTCTAAGAATCAATGGGTAAATATTCTCAGGTGAAGATTAATAAGAACAACAGCAGCATGCACACACACACACACACACACACACACACAAAACTAACACAGAAGATGGAGTGAGAAACACTGTGAAGAAATAATCATTAAGGCTTTGAACTGTTTGAGTACAAGAAAAATAGGGAGGTGAAGTCAAAGAGGACTGCAGTGCTTCAGTGATTAGATCTCCACAGGAATATGGAGAATGAGAGGAAGGACTGACATAGGGGCAGAAGGGAAATGACAAGTCTAGTTTATTACATCAAGTTGGTCATTACAGTCAAAGTCATATCCATGAGAAGGTATACTTCCCTCTTCAGAGCACATCTTCATGGAAAGAAGATTACCAATAAACATTTTAAAGACAAATCACCAGGGGGAGACACAAAGGTTGGGGATGAGGCACATGCTGGCTCCAAATATTTTTCTGGTCACTAACTCAGAATAACAAAGATCAATCATATGCCATAGTCACATATGCCTACCTCCAAAATGGTTAATTAAAAATCTTGTGAATCATAATATTCTTTCCTATCAGTATTCTTATGCTATCACTCTCTATTGCCACTTTCTCTCAATTCATCAGCCTTCTTTTGTTCATTGCCCTTGATATCTGATTTAGGTTACAGGTTTGTAAAGGTAGTGACTCTCCTGGAAATATCCAGAACATCTTATTCCTCTTTTTTTTGCTTCCCCTCCCCCCTGTCAAGCCTTTTATGGCTCTGAATGGACCAAGCTAGCAACTTTTTTCCTCCTATAACCAAATAATTGAGAGCTGCTGGAGAATGTCACACAATAGAACAGATCATTTCTACTAAAATTCCATGGACACCAGTCTTAAATAGACATTCGCCGCTGCTTGAGAATTCTCCTGTGCTTCTGTGGTAAGCTCTTCTAATCTTCACAAAATAGTTTTATTATAACTTTTTTTGTAACCTCCAGTTGCCTCCCCTATTCCTTACCTCAGTCTCAGCAAATGTTTCTGCTTCTTTCTTTACAGAAAAAAAGTGGGAGCTGCTACATTCTTTCATCTTCCTGCCCATTCATCTTCCTTATGCCAAACCTACAAATCTATGCACAGCTCAGTCCATCTTATCTGCCTTCCCTTATGTTACAATAACAGAGGAACTTTTTTCCCCTCTCTGTCCTAGGATGCTTTTCTGCTCTATGCTCTGGGTCCCATCACTTCTATAATATCTTATTAGAAATATTACAAGAATGCTTCTAATTTTTGTTTTTGGCATTCAGCCTCTCTCTGAATTGTGTCCTTCCCGTTAGCTTTCAAACTTGCCAGAGTCCTTTCCACTAGAAGAACAATGAAATGCCCCCAAAGTTATTCTTATTTTTTTTAATCCAATTACCCCCTCACTCAGCCGAAGTTTTTGAAGATACTACTTATCTCTATCCAGTTATCTCTCTGCACAGCTGAACTTATTGAAAGAATGGTCTGTGTTTTGATGTCAGTATTTTCTTATTTTCACTTTGTGCTTACATCTTAGCATACTCCAATGTGGCTGTTGATCCTTAGCACATCTTTAAAACAGCCTCTTCACAGGTCTCCAGGTTTTCCATCCATGCATTAAAACCAGCAGCTATCTTTATTTCCTCATTTATTTCTACCTCTTATCAGCATTTGCCTTGTTGACTATTCTGATAGTCTTGAAACACACATTTTTTTTTTTTTTTTTGGCTCCTGTGCATCTGTCTGTTCAGTTTGCACCTAACTGGAGGACAAAATCTAATGTGTGATTCTCTATCCAAGCCTTGTACAAGAGCATGGACCAGTGTCAGATCAGAAGGAAGAGGAGATTTTTCTATTCATCCATTCATAAGGGGTACTTTCAGGGTTCTTAATTTTATGACACAACAGTATATTTATCTCTTTGGCTCTTCCTTTTGCTTTCTTTGTGGGTTTATCATTCTCTACCTAGCATTTAAATATTAAAGTTACTTGATTTGTTCTATCTCACAGCTCACCATTCCCATGTTACTCAAAGTTCACTGTCACTGATCATTATCTTACATGTCTATAGCTCCCAAATTTAGGTCCATAACGTATACTTCTCCTTTGAGAACATACCTACCCAACTCCTATTGGAAATTTCTGTGTGAATATTATGTCCAACTTAACAAGTCCAAAAATTCATAATTTTCTCCCTTCTTTTTCCCACTCCTACCACCACCTAATTCTATTTTAGTGATGTCTCTTGCAGCAAATGGCCATCTTATAACATTATGATACACAGACCAGAGACCTAGTAATCTTCCTTGACATATCCTTTTACTTGTTTTTATTTTAGAGTTGAAAGGAGTTGTCGGCATTTGCTCATTTAAAAGTATTTAATTTGAGTGAATCTTCTGACATTTGATTCCCAAATTCTTTGCATAATCTCTGAGCAGTTTTAGGAAAAAAGAAGGAGCCTAGTATTTATGAGATTCTCAAAGGGGTCTATAATCCATCTATCTATCTATCTATCTATCTATCTATCTATCTATCTATCCGCACACATACACATATTCAGTGTTCATAGCTCAGTGGGATTAAAAAAGCTCATATTTCTTCTTCATTGTTGACTCAAGTAAACAATAATCTCATGGTACATTTATTACTTTTTTCCCTGGCTACCTTTCTAGTCCTCATTTATCTTTAGAATCCTGGCTTTACTTTTAGAGGGAAATGAAGTTCATCGTCTCTTGTGGACCCTTCTCTGGACCAAGAACTTTTTTGCCAGCTTACATTAGCAGGAATTGGGTCACATTTTATTAAGTAGACAGGCTTGTAGACAGTCTCTGGAAACACAGCTGTGTCAGTTAATGAACTGCAAAGAAGCTCTTATTTCACTGATGTCTTGACAATTTACAGGATAATGAACAGCAGGGCTGTTACTAATGGAATATTTTGTGTTCTGGGTGTTATGATTGCTTACTTCAAAAATTGCTAAAGAATAGGAAAGTATGTACCCTGCTCTGTGTAATGGGTGCTCACCGAAGACACAAAATAAGGGTCTCAACTTTACTAATTTGGGTCAGGTGTTCTCAACTACAGTAGTGTTGACATTTTGGGACCAATAATGCTTTAGTATGGGGGTTGAGCTGTGTTAGTACTGTTGCTGACATTTACTCAATAGATACCAGTAGCACACTCATCTTGTCCCCTTTTCCCAGTTGTGACAACCAAAAATGTCTCCTGATATTGCCAAATGTCTGAGGTGGTGGTGGTGGTGACAAAATTGCCTTAGTTGAGTTGACTTAGATCAATGTTAAAATTTATGCTGGAAACTGAAGCAGTCAGATTCATGAGTAGTAAAATAGAGTTGTGGTAGGTCAATCTCTTTCTTAGCCCAAAACAATAACAGAAACAACAGCCATTACTCCCACCCTTGGACTGAGGGCATGGAAAGGAATGTTTGCTGGATATAAACCAAGTGCCAGGTGCTATCCTAGGCCTTGGATGTTATTTCTTTTACTCCTCCTAATAGCCCCATGAGGACAACATTGTGGCTCTCATTCTGCTACCATGAGAACTGAGACAGGGTGATTAAGCTACCTCCCCAGGGTCAATCATCTGTTAGGTGGTGTGGTTGGGAAGAAACCTAGCCAGACCCATCTCTAAACCCAATTTTTTTCCTGCCTCATTCCACTGTGCCCTTAAAACATCTTTCTTTGTTAAGTTTCATTCTTCCTGTCAATGAAACCATGGTTCTAAGCATTCAGTATTCTGTTTTAATTTTTATCTATTAATAAAATTATTAGCTCTACTTTAAGTGTGATATGGTTTTCTGTTTTAAATGAACACAATAAAATTTTAGAATAGATCCTTTAAAAATATATAAACTCTCAAAGGAATTCTAATATAGTAGATTTTTTCTTGCCTATGGGGTTGGCTTTTCCTCCACTCCTATATACCCACATTAGAAATACACTAGTATGGTATCTCAAAGGTATTCACTCCAACAATTGGTAATGGAGAAAAACACCTCTCATATTACAAACACCTCAATTCCTAAATATTAATACCTTCTTTCTTTCTTTCTAATAATACAATTTGATAAGTTTAAATGCAATACTTTTCATTGTTCCTTTGGAGAGAGGGGTCTTACCAGGAACCTCTCTCTTCTTTCTCTCTGAAATCAATAAAAATATATTTAAAAAAAATATGAATGTCAAGTCTGAGATTTTTGTTTCATTGCTAAAGAATGCAGTGTATTACATTATGCATGGACATTTAGAAAAACATTGCTAAGTGATAAAAATAAGAATGAATGGCATATATTTTAGACATAATTAATTATGCTGATATAACAGAATTGCTGTTAAGCACGGAATAATTTAAATGGAGGGGGGAAAATGGAGATCCATAGTTAAAATTGGAAACCAAGCATTGTAATGAACAGGCCATTGAAACTTTCCCCCTATATTATAAGAATTCCGAGCTTTCTCCCAATAGTTGCTACATCAAACACTGAAACATCTGAAACAGATTTCCAAGGACTTTATGTATCACAAAAGGTAGATACATGGTATGGAGGTACACAATACCCCTGTCATGCATATGCTGTGACTGAAATTTGTGAATCTGTTTGGATGGATGATCATAGAACTTAGGTCTCAGAAATGTATGCCATTCCTTAGAAGAAAATATATGCTGTATGTCACACTCAGTATATATGCTCAGTATATATGATAAAACCAGAGGGTTTGAAGAAACATTTTGTCTTCAGGAAAACTCTTTTATGCTATCTCAGTTTTCTGGATTAAACAAAATGTAATAAAATGACCCCCCCCCCCCGAAAAAAAAAAGAAACACGCACACAAAAAAACAACCCCAAAATTTTTTAAAAAACACCTCCACAAAGAGATTCCACAAGTGTCTTGCCTTTCTGTTGGAAATTTATTACCTTCTTCCAAAAAGGAGCTTAATATTTGTCTCTGGATAAGGGTCATTCTAGGAACTGAGGCCACTACTCCTATTCTAAGTATTTAGTTGTAATTCCTTTTAAATCATTTTTCTGACTTCTGGTTAACTCCCTGATAGTCTTATAATACTTCCCTCTATCTCTTTAATATCTGAATTGCTCTGTTAGGAATTCTTATTTAATTACACGAGAGAGACTTTGCCAGGATTTCCCTGATTTTGTCTCTGAATGCCGGGGGAGATGCCTGGACAAGGATATGAACTCACCTGTTCTTTCAGTTCCCAGGGTCCTAATGCTTTCTTACCAGCACACACTGTCTCCAGCAACTGGGCAAACATATAACCTATGGATGGAAAACCATGACCTCTTGTGATTTTTTTTTTTTGTAAATAAACTTCTACTGGGACACATCCATGCTCATTCATTTCCCTATTAGCTATCTCTATTTGTAACACAACTGAGTAGTTATGACCCAATCTGTGTGATCTCCAAAGCTAAAAATATTTACTATTTGGCCCTACAAAAAAAAATGTTTGAGACTTTTGATCTCTTCTTACCAACGCCTGGATTTATTTTGGCTAATTAAAATTAAATCACTGCTGCCAGTGTGCTCAGTGGTTATAGTGTTGGCCTATGAATGAAGGTATTGGGTTTGATTCCAGTAACTCGCTTGAGGACCTGTCTGGAGGTCTGGTGAGGCACATGTGGGAGGTAACTAATCCATGTCTTTCTCTCTCATTGATGTTTTTTTTCTCTCTTCCCTCCACCCCTTTCTCCCCCTCCTTTCTTCTCTCCCTGCCCTTCTCTCCCTCCCACTATCTCTTAAAAAAATCAATGGAAGAAAAACTTAAATCACTGCTCCCCTCTTTTCTCTTCCCACAAGCACCTCACTTTCAGTTGGCTGCCCTGTGGCCTTAGCTCTCCAGTAAGTTCAGGTTGTCAACCTGCAGTTTGTTCATTGCTGAAGACTGAACATTTATGTCTCATCTAAATTCATGTGGGAAAGCCTAATGCCCAATGCATGTATGGTATTGGGAGGTGATTATGTCATGAAGGTGGAGCCCAATTGCCAGGGATGAATGTCTTATAAAAGGGCCCTGGAGGGCTCCCTCCCCACTTCTGCCTGCCCTGTGAATACACAGTGAAAAGAGGGCTGTCTGTGAACCAGGAAGTGGGATCTCACTAGACCCTGAATCTGCCAGCACCTTGATCTTGGACTCCTCAGCCTCCAGAACTGTGAGAGAGAAATGTTATTTATAAGCCACCCAGCCTGTGGTATTCTGTGATAGCAGCCCAAACGAACTAAACCACCCATTATTTTTGTTTAAAGTTTAAAGAAGATCTTTCAATTTTCTACATCCCCAAGTGATACCCCAAAGTCTCCATTATTTCTCCCTTTCTCCCCTTCCCCCCTTACAATGTATCTGTTAAAGAATCTGGGTAAGTTGGTAGATTTTCCTACAAGATTGTTTATTGTGAAGCATTAAATAATATGGCTCCTTGCTTTTCTGGAAGCTTTTTCTTAGCTTGGGTCCCAAGCTCTACTTTTTTTTTCTTCTGGGCCTTCTCACCTATTCCCTCTTTTTATCTCTCCTGCTTCAGCAGTTTTCCTCTATATGGAGTCCTGTTAAGAAAGGCAGCTTGGAAGGTTTTTTTAGAAATCACATGGAGATACATAGTATTTGTTTTTACCATTTTGCAGATGAGGAGACCAAGCCATGCAGAAGTTAAATTTTGCCTTGGTCTGTGTGACTCAATTGGTAAAGCATCATCCCATGCACCAAAGAGTCACCTGTTTGATTCCCAGTCAGGGCATATGCCTGGATTGTGGACTTGATCCATAGTCAGGGGCAAGCAGGAGTCAGCTAATTGATCAATGTTTCTCTCTCCCTCCCTTTCCTTTCTTCTCGCTATAAAATCAACAAAAACATATTTAAAAAACAAGAAGCTAAGTATGATTTGCTCAAGGTCATACACTAGTAATTGAGAAGGTGGCATTCCAACAAAAGCATATAGATTCTAAAGAGAATGCCTGCCTTGATCACTGCAATACACTTGTTGTTCAGCAAAGCCTGCTTTTATGTCTTCCTTCCTTCTGCGTTTTCTTACCCACTGCTTTAATCCTCTCAAAGAACTTCTAAAAGTAACCTCCTGATCTTTGCAGCTTCCTCCATGCCCGCTGACATTACTCTGACCCATGGCTTCCCCAATAGAAACGAAACAAACAAAAAAAAAACATTCAAGCCTCTGTGATAAGTTCTAACTGGCCAGGAAATTATGCGAATGGACAGTATTTCAGTTCACATTTTATTGCCACAGAAGAAAGTTCAACTGTTCCACCACTGAATCTCTCTTATTTTTTGCCCTGTTTTTAGTGACTGCCCATTAGAAGTAATTTGTTCCAGCCACATCCATCTTCACTTTCGGTGGCGATGCCCTTTAGTTTCACCCTTGTTTTTGCTCATACCGCCACCTCTTCAGATAATGTTCTCTCTTCCCATTGCCGTTTTTTTAAAGCGAGATGCTTAGGTGGCCTGATGTGTGAGGCCGCCCTGAGCTTCCTCCAGCACTGTGTTAGGATTTTTTGGTTCCTTAATGAGCTCATACAGTCGTTAGAAAAGATCTTTATCACAGCCTTCATCCAAGTGTGTTTGGGTGAGTTTTTTTGTGCATCAGCTAGATTCCGAGTTTACTGAGGAATGGGGCAATGTATTATTCATCTTTGTAACCCCAGAACCCCCACGTTACTTGGAACAAAGTATTCCAATCAGTTTTGTTAGATGAACCCAATTAGTAGGAGAGATTTTCCTACAAGATTGTTTATTGTGTAGCATTAAATAATATGGCTATGATAAGACAAGTTTTAGCTTCTTGGTTTGAAAACAAATACTTAACAATTGCATGTTTACTTTGTCTTCCTGTTATTATCTAATAACATATATTCAAAACTATGCTGACACAAGCATGGATAAACAGACAGCATTTTATTTTTCGATACTTGCCCCCCCCTCCCCCAATTAACCTTCTATCTTGCATGACAATCCTCTGAGAATTATCTGCGTGTGAATAATATTTCTTCATGGAGTCATCATACCCAGTAAAATTAAATATTTTAACATTTGTAATCAGCTTTTTCTGTTCTCAGGTCTAGTGGCTTAAACTCACTTAAACAGATTGAATTTTAGAAATAAACTAAACACTACTTTTATAAAGACAAATGCAGAAAGATTTTATTTTCAACAGCCTCACACAGTCAGCTTACATTTCCATCATTCATTTATTCATTCACTCATTTAATAAATCACTCATGTATTGAAAGCCTACACTTGTCATTTCTAGATAGATCTAGAATTTCCCCAAGTCAGGGGTGATAGACATTGCTGGAAAAGATTGGGCTTTAATTTTAAAAATCAGAATGAGACAAGAGATTAGCCAAAGAACACATATGCATAGCCCATGGACACAGACAAAGGCCAGGGGTGGGGCTGGGTGGACGTGTGCAAAAGGAAAAAATGGAGGATATTTCTAATAGTATCTACAATAAAAAATAAATCACAATGTGATAGACATTTTAGGACATTAAGAAACATACACTATACAATATGGTTTTACCATATGGGTGGGTGTGAGGTGGAGGGGGTTAATGGGGAAAAAACAAATAAACAAATAAAGCGGATATCTGTAACACTTTCAACAATAAAGAAAAAATTAAAGTAAAGAGTAGTTGATATTTCAGAAAATAAACAAACAAAACAGTGTGGCAAGGTCTTCTGAGTCAGTGCATTACTAAAAGAGACAATATTATTACGTATTTTAAAATGATTTTGAAAGCTAATGTTTTTTTAAAAAAATTGTAGATAAAGTATTCTCCAAGAGAATAAAAGTTATGAGTTAAAATTTGGACATAATTTTTAACAAGCTTTGTTTTCTCATTTCTGTGGGCTATATAATATAAATTATGAGAATTAAGTTAGCAAGCCCCAATAAGACACCATTCAAGAATTTCAAAAGAATCCATCTTTTCAGGGCCATTTGCCCTTCAGAGCTTGGGGCTTTGAAGTCAGATACAGAGGGATTCAACTTCTGACTTCTTATTAGTTATA